TTTTAAATAGGGACAATATTCAAATGAAAAAAAAGTTGATATACAATGCAGTCCCATGCACTGTAGGCATATTCTTCTATATTGCATTCTAAATATAATCATGTGTAAAATAAAATACTAGTTAAGGCCTACTCTAATTTATGACATGCTAGCCCCCTGGAGAATTTTTTAATGTTACAAGATATACATATTAGGACCTTCTAGTCTGTGTTATTTAAACTTTTAAATCATGTGCACAGTTGTCCCAGCATGCTTCTCTGCCCTGATTTCAAATCACTTGCAATACTGTTTTCTTCCCACTTTGGCTCTTAACGTTGACAATGGATTCTGGCCTAAGCTTCCCTAAAATGCTACCTTCAGACCTGAAGATGAGGCTTTCAGACTTTGATTCTTATATCCCCCGGTGCATGAAGGCCATGTCATCACTGGGAAGTCTGATGCTCTCCTTCCTTCGTGCTCTCCTAGACAACAACGAGTGTGGGTCCCAGCCTGCGCTGTGTGGCGCAAAGGGAATCTGCCAGAACACCCCGGGCAGCTTCAGCTGCGAATGCCAACGAGGCTTCTCTCTGGATGCCAGTGGACTGAACTGTGAAGGTGAGTTTATTTGCTCAGAAATCCTTAAGGCCATGTGGCTACGTACAGATTTTTAAATTTGTAAACCATTAAGTGAGAAACTAAGAAACAAACACCTCCCCCCCCCAAAAAAAATAATAGAATATGGCCTAGCCGTTGATTTTTAGTCTGATGTGCCCATATATCATTTTTAGAGGCATCATTTAATGATGAGGCCAAACTTCTGTGCCTTCTTAGTCAATAAAGCACAAAGGCAGTTGCTTTGGACTCACTTTTATGAAATAAGCCAAAAAGTTTTGTCAGTAGAGATCTAGGTGTGTATCTTCACAGCAATGACAAAAGAGACTGAAAGAAAAAGTTATGATTATGAATTACTTTTAAGATAATTCTAAGAATTTGATGCCTAATATGGTTTATAGGTTTACACCAGTGTATGAGCATACCAGGGGTGAAAAGTACACACAAAAAAACTTTAAAGTGCATTTTTGTTCCAAGTCTCAATGTGGAAAAATAGAACTTATCATTGTAGAGATCGAAAGAAATGGTGAAAACGACGGATCTTTCCCGTTTATATGTGCCACGGTTCCTGCTTCCCTCCCTTACCTACAGGGCCATTCCCCATAAAATCGCCCCTGCAATTGATACTTCCTGTAAGTTCAAGGGAACTGTAAATGGAAACAAATTAAGAATCTGCTTGAAACCAATAAACTAGCATATGGGTCTTCAGCATCTGCTAGCCTATGATAAAATAAAGGTATGGAGATTGGTGTTGGTTAGAAAAGAGACCTGGCAGAGATTGTGGGTCTGCATACATTTCCTTCGGATTTTTAAATAGTGTTGCCATTTGCAATTTGAGTGCTTTGTAGGTCAACCATTCCTGAATTCATCATTCTTAGACTTAACATGATTCTTTATCTAAATCAAAGACATTGTTTACTTTGCTTCATCGGAATTATGGGACTTCGATAATGTCTTTTCAGCCCAGGAAAGACTTATTTTTTTTACTCTAATATTATTTTATATTTGATGTGATTAAGACCTTCAAAGTATTCTAAATCTACAGCTGCTTGGCACGTGTAAGTTCAGCTCATGACCATCTGCATAAGATACTGTTTATAAATTATCCATATAAATGTGTTACACATGCATCAGACATGCCAATTATATTTCACTCCTTATGGGTAGATTTCAAAGCCCCAGTTTTCATTCCAAAAGTGTATGCATAAATGAACAAAGAAATTATTCCATATGTGTAACAACAGTACATCTGGTCTAAAAATAACATTTCCAAATACTTAAGAGGGATTTGCATCTAATCAGTCCTGAGTGGCAATAAAATTAAAAGCTCTGTGCGAGACAGTTATACAATCTAGCGATCGCTATAGACTTGTGTCTTACCCAAATTGAAGATTACATGTCAATCCCTTGTGCCTCTCTTGGATAGGCAATGCAAATATATTTATATCACTTAATACCAAATGGAAGGTACCAACCATATGAAGTTCATCAAGCTCAAGGGCACTACATTGTGGTTGCTGCGAAGGGAGATGTGTTGAAATGAAGATGTTATTTAGAACACTTGACACGGCATGGTGCTGGGTAGCACAAGTACGAGGTGGTTTCTTATCCCAGAACCACGCTTTGCACTCCCACTGACTAATCCCCATGTGACTTGGGGGGGGGGGGGGGGATCACAACTTTTCTGTACCCATGTGTGTGTGCTCTCCTGATAATAGTCACCCCGTGCTATTTTTGAAATGCAATGTGCTGACGTGGAGAAAGGCTACATGAAGCTTTTGCTTGGCTTGTTTTTCACAGATGTTGATGAATGTGATGGAAACCATCGGTGCCAGCATGGCTGCCAGAACATCTTGGGAGGCTACCGATGCGGTTGTCCTCAAGGTTACATTCAGCACTACCAGTGGAATCAGTGTGTTGGTGAGCCCGCAGTCACTATATGGGGTCTGCTCTTCTCAGCCTAAAGTAAAAAACAACAACAAAGAACCCGATAATGTAGCGGTTGGACTTCCAATGTGTTAATTGTAGAATTCTAAAACTTTAAAAGAAAAATTTATGGTTGACCCCCCGGGGACACACGCTCTACACCAGGCACTATGAAAAGGTCTATGATAAGAAAGCGTTCTCCTAAGTGCCTAAAAGATCCACTCTCTAGAGCTTTTATAGTTTGGGGCTTGTGCTGCCTGTAGTCATTTTAAGTTTCTGAAGATAGTGTCAGGAATGGTCACTTTCATTGGCCAAGGTCAGCTGCTTTGTCACCAGTAATTTGGTATTACGAGATTGGGAGGTGAAAGGTGGCCCACCCATCCCATGATAGAAATGTAGGCGAGAGTCCAGATAGACTTCCTTAATGAGGACAGTTCATCTGCTCTCCAGACTCATGGGTTTGGTGAAGGACATGAAGGGTTTGTAGACAAAAAATACCTAATTACAGCAAGTTGACAGTTCTAGGCAAAGAATGAACATTTAAAAGGAAGCCCATAGGTACTCCCTTCTGTTCCTGGCATTGCTAATATTCACGCAGTTCTCCATTTAAGGAGCTAGGCATCAAAAGAAACATTACTCTCTGCTTGCATAGCAAGTTGACCTATTTAGCATATGGATAATTTCTTGACTCAGTTCGAATGCATTTTCATGGTCCCATCACCCAATCTGTTACATTAGACATCAGAGCTGAGCTGTAGGGAGGCCACGTTTCTGCAGACAGAGGGCAGGGGGCTTCCTGTGCCTCTCCGGTGACTTAAATAGCCCCACTTAACTTTCAAATGTGTTACTGTGAGTGATCCGCTACATTGATTAATTCTCTTTTGTGATCTTCTCAAGAGAAACTGCTAATATAAACAGCCAATTGAGCCGAAAAGCACTGAGTTGAATTTTTAACAAGGGAAACTCGTTCTGTGATGGTCACGGCAATGCTGTAGCCTCGTGCTCGGGTCAAGGGCACACTTTGACACACTCATGGTGGGAAAACACACGCAAACGCACACGACAAGCAGTAGAAAAGACAAAGTTTTAAAGAATTATCAAAACAATGAGTGTAAGCATTCAGTCAAAAATAATCTTAAGTTTAATTTGCTTTTTTCTCTTCATAGAAAATAAATCCTCAGGCCTTGATTTTATGGATTCATTAATGGAAACAAAGTGCAGGCACAAACTTTAGACTGTAGGCAGTAGTAATTTACAGAGAGCAATTCAAATGATGTAAAGTGATTTTATTATTATGTGATGTCTACAAAATAGGAGGCCCGCCACTTGGTTGGTGGACTTCATGGCTTTTCACACTATAGAACTTAAGGCATAAGTCTAATTCTCTAATATTTCAAATTGTTGAAGATTAAAATACAATTAATCTTTTTAAAACGCTGCACAGGTAAAACTGGGAATGTGTATGGACTGGCAACTGCCTTTCTAAGGTTTCCATTTTCCTGGTGTGTGGGTTTTGTGCATCTCGTGAAGCATATAGCTGCGTAGCCGCTCAGTGGCTTTGGAGGCTGGGCGTGGAGTGGTCTGACCTAAAAGAAAGGGGGGAGGTCTCTTCCAGAAGCTGGATGGGGCCGTGGTAGAGGACTTGGCTGCTAGCCAACAGGCCAGTGGTTAGAACCCACTAGCCCAGCCGTTTTCTGTCAGAGAAAAAAGGTGGCCGTTGGCATCCATAAAGACTGACAACCTCGGAAACCTGATGGGGGCACTTCTCCCGTCTTAATAGGGTCTCTGGGAATCAGAATTACCTCCACCGCAGCGAGTTTGGATTTGCTTTTGGGGGGAATCTTCCCCCCATTTCCCTTTGTGGGGGTCTCGGGGTAGGCATTTTAGGGCACCAGTCCCTCTCCCAGAGCTGACATAGGACCCAGCCCGAGGTGCTGTGAGCGCTCATAAGGACTGAAGAACATGGGGTGCAAAGGGACGTCCCAAACGGACAGTGCATCGGCAGATCGCCGTCATTACAGACGCCTCTACATAGCAGGCCCTTGAGTAGGACGCACCAGGGATCTGGGGCTTAGTTCAGAGGTTCGTGAATCTCCTGTGCAGTATGGAGGTGTCAAGCTCGCCTCCAAGAAAATGCTCTGATCAAATTCCTGGTTTGGGCATTTGTTGTGTTTGTTTTTCCCTTGGATCCTGTCCGCTCCCATGGGAATCTACAGTGATCTCTTGCGCCCAGAACAAACTGCCCCACAGAAACATATCGCCAGGCCTGTGACCTGCAGCATTGCTCTGTGGATTCGAACCACCGACTGTGCCGTCTAGTAGTCAGGCTCTTTGCACCACCCAAGGACTCGAGGGGGTGCTCCTGAATCACAATCAGCTCGGTGGCTACTCACCACCCCCACCTAAGAGAGAGAGCAGAGCAAGCCACTAGGGACTAAGACAAGCAGCATGTTAGCCCACAGAACAAGAATCGGACGGCAGTTCGCTTTCACTTGTCGCTACACATACCAAGAACCCGCACGAATTGGGGGGAAACGTACAACAAAGTACAATGAGAAATTAGCCGAAACTCCTATTAATGGAATCACAACTATGAAACTCCCTAGATAACTTCAGTAAGCTTAAATTGTAAAACTACAGTGTTCTTGAGCCCTACAACCACACCCAGTACCTTCCAGCTGATTCTGGCTCCCAGCCAGCCCTGGGACAGAGTGGAACTGGCCCCGGGAGCTCCTGAGGCTGTAGAGCAATCGTCAGGCACACCGAGATAGCCTCAGCTTCTCCTCCTGGGTTTGGGCTGTGACCTTGGGATTAGCAGCCCAGTGACTACCCTGCCACCCCCAGGGTTCCTCATTGTCAGGAGCAGCACTGTCAGATCAAGGAAAGTGAAAGCTCTCTGTCAATATTAATATTGAGAAAAGCTTTTAAATCTATTAAGCGATGACGGCTTCGTCTCTTACGACATAATTTTGTTTTCCTGCCCGAGAGATGGCCGCTATTTTCAGTTCTTTACTTTCAGAATGCCTGAATTTGGTCAGCATGCCTGAAAATCCTTGAGCCTGTCACTTCCCCTGCACACTCCCTGAGCCAGAGTGCCGGTGTCCCTTATGTTCCGTCACTTCCAGTAGTTTCTGCGAGCTTTCCAAATGATCCTGGCAGCACGAGGCCAGCCGTTTCACATGCGTGTCAAACAGAAGAGCGCATACTGACAGCAAGGTCTCATCGTCCATAAAGTGTTACCATGCTGTACATGTATAGCCCATGAATATGAAAGTACATTCATGGCTTCCCGAAACATTACGTGCTTTAAAATATTTTTGTGAGTCATGTGGCTTAAAGGTGACTTAGTTCACTCCTTGGCCTTGCCTTGTGATGCCACAATGTCAAATGGTGTGTCCATGACAGGATCAATTTATTAAACTATCATCGAATTGAGATTCCCTGGTAGGAGCAGAACGCTGCAGCTAAAAGTCACCTTTAATTGTGAAAGCCAATAAGCCCCGGAGGCAGAATCCCAAGCCTACCGTTCACTGAAATAAAAGAGTGGTTGTGTCTTTGTGCCACATGTGGCCCCGTGGCCAAGCGTTTCCGTAAGCACTTTCTCCCCCACTCCTGACGACGAAGACGGGTCACAGATCAGGCCATTTTACAGTGACTAAGAATGCTGCCTTTCCCAGGTCTGGAAGTATAATCATAGTACAAACATGCACCTCCATAGCATCTACCTTCAACCACCACCTTCGTAGATCTGATTGGGTTTAATTTCCTGTCCGGGAGCCCTCTTTCCTGAGATTCCAGCTGCATCTCCCATAACTGTACTGAGCTACTGCAGATAGGCACTGCCCTTTGACCTTTGGGTCCCCACAAATCCTATCCCCCCACATGGGCTGAAACATATACTGGTCATATATTAGGTAAACAGACATGCTGGGCTCCATATGGAGTCGCAGGAATTTGAAAAATTCCATGGAACAGATGTGATTTGTGCCCAGAGTGACATGTGGATTAAAATAAAGCCCAAAGGAGACACGCCACATGTGATACGTCAACCAGACAGTTAAGTGCAAAACTGATCTCCAAAGCTCCATGCACGCTCGGGCTCTGAGCCGACCAACATGAGCAGCAGTGGAAAGTATAACCAAGAATGACCCTGCTGCCAGGCCTTTGTAATACAGTTTAGGTACTGAACAGCAAACGCTGCCCGACAGCTGGTGGCTGACGCACACTTCTCGACAAGGCATGGTTGACACAAGTCCTCCAGCAGGTAAAACTGCCCTCAGCGGTCAGCAGGAGCGCTGATGTTTAATGATGTTTCTTTCCATTCTGCTCTGTCGGGTGTGTATTCATATACATATATGTATACTTCCTCCCGTATATCAGGCAAACCCTGGGGAACTTTAGGGGGAAATTCACATACCATCACACACACACACCACCCCCTCTAAAAGTGTTCAGTCCGTGGATTTGTAGTGTATCATCACAAGGTTGGGCAAATAACACTGTATAGTCCCAGAATATTTTCATCACCTACCCCCACCCCACCCCCACCTCCACAAAAAAAACCATAATCATTAGCACTTTTGTCCCATCCCCTGGCCACCGCTAAGCTGTTTTCTGTCTCTGTGGATCTGCCTGGCCAACTGCAAGTATCTGTCCTCACAGACTGCCAACGGAGTCAGTACTGTTCAGAAGCGTAGTAGGAGTAGACTATAATAGGGTGAGGGGAAGGTTTTTAAAAACATAAGTGAGATAATTGAAGGAGAGCTGTAGTGTTCGGGATTTGTCTGGTTTTTGATACCCTTTGGAAATCACCCATCGAGGTTAAAAATCAAACAAAAAGATTATGGCGGTTTTTGGGGGGTGGTTTTTGTTTTTAATATCGGGGGGCTTCACAAAGTTCATGGGAAAACATTTTTTTAAATTATGACATTTTCCCATGAACATTTTGAAGCTCTCCCCACCCCTCCTCCAGTGTTAGTCATTGTCCTGTCAGGTCACCTTTGCTTTGAGACTCTGGCTCTTGGCACTTGGACCAGCTTGCCAGTCTAAGAGGGGTTTCCTCTTGTGTTTCCATAGATGAGAACGAATGCTCCAACCCCAGTGCCTGTGGCTCAGCCTCCTGCTACAACACCCTGGGGAGCTACCAGTGTGCCTGCCCCTCGGGCTTCTCCTTCGACCAGTTCTCCAGTGCCTGCCATGATGTGAACGAGTGCTCATCCTCCAAGAACCCGTGCAACTACGGCTGCTCCAACACGGAAGGGGGTTACCTCTGCGGCTGTCCGCCCGGATACTACAGAGTGGGACAAGGGTAAGGCAGCCCCGGTCAGCCCTGATGACCTACCTAGCAGGAAAGGTCAAAGGTTTAAAACCCCAGCTAGCCAAAGGATTGATTACAACCGTGACGGCATAAAATCAAAGTCTAGAAAGGCTGTTCCTTGCACTAGAATTTTCTCCTTTGAGGCCAGCAAACACCTCGACCAGTATTTGTGTTTTCTCCTCTGTAAAGGCCTGGGTTGATTTAATCACACTCTTCAAGACACACATACTTGAAAGGTCAGCTTGCAGGTTGCCGTCGCTAACCGGGTAGTGCGAGAGAATTGGAAATGGCCTCATCCCAATTACCTGTACTGATTTTGGCAGGTGCTAGCCTAGTTGTTCGTAGGGAATTGGTCCCTCTCTTTGCTCATATGAACGAGCTTTGCTGATGCAGTGGGTTCAGTATTGACTTGCTAGCTAAAGAGTCAGCAGTTCAAACACCAGGTACTCCATGGGCGAAAGATGAAGCCGTCTGCTCCGGTGAGGACTGACTATAATCTCCCGAGACACACCCTAAGGAATAGCTTTGCCTGTCCTAAGGATTATGTTGGGATTAACTCCATGCCAGTGGAGTATAAACCTTTTACACTGCAGAGGCAAGACCTGCCTAGTATGTGTGGCTGCCCTCTACCTGACACCCTGGCTTCCTCTGACTGCATTTTCACAGATGTAGCCGTGTCAGGTTTTATCTGCTGTGGCTAAGGTGTGCTGGCCCCTTAACATGGTCCCTCTATCACACGGGCACCACACAGCCAGGGCCCCTGTCTCAGAAGGAGCCCTCAGAAGGAACTGTGTGTAAGGCAGGGACTGAGGCCCCAAGGACAGAGGCAGGGAGACAGCCCTGAAAGGTGTAGTCTAGCCAAGGGTCATTCTGAACTCCCCACCTGCCTTTTTCACTAACAGAAAGTTTGGCTTCAGGAAATCACAGGGATCCAACACAGACTTCAAGCTCGAGAACCAAACATTGCTTTTTAGAAATTAACCCTCTGCCTTTATCCTCTTGAGCTAACTACTGCACCTCTGGTGGTCCAGTAAGATCGAAAACCAGAGGAGCCCAGGACTCCTTCTGAATTTTTCCCTTTCTAAATCAGGGAAGAATCTCATGTTGAGCAGAAAAAATCTTGGTGGGGTTTTTTTTCCCTAATTTTTGCTTTTCGCTGTTATTTTATTATGTCTGCTTTCTCACTAGAAAACTAGTCAAAATCTATGATAAAGTCTAACAGTACCTTGGCTTCCCTCTGCAAATAGCCACTGTGTCTCAGGAATGGGATTTAACAAAGGGCAGTACCTTTCGCTGGATACGGAGGTCGATGAGGAAAACGCTCTGTCTCCGGAAGCATGCTATGAATGCAAGATCAACGGTTTCCCCAAGAAAGAAGAGCGGCAACGGAGAAGTGTTCGGGAGCCTGCTGCAGCTACTGTGAGTTGGTCTCACTTCATTTGCATCCAAGGCTGTCTGTCGAGGGTCCTGGAGGCCGTGCAGGAAACCTTGCTGTTGCTATGAGCTGCGGCAAGCTAAAACTACCTTGAAGGCCAGCCTAGAAAATTGATGGATACGATATGGAAAGGCAAAACGAAGCTAGTTAAATTATTCCTTCTAACACAAGGACTGGGGAGAAAGGCGTTAAGATTCTAGTTTCTGATCTTTTTATCTTTTTTCTTTTTAGTTTTTGATAAGTGCCAGAGAACATTAAAGTGCCCGTCCAGGAAACAGTTATTTTGGAATGATACAAAATGAAATTTTAATTTGTCCAATTTATATCCATACACATACACACACATTTTGTCTAGTTTTAGCTACATAGCTGTATAAATGTATACATATATACATATGTATATAGAGAGAAATTATTCATATGTGCATACATATATATAAACTAGACAAAATAACTTCAAATTAAAATATGTATGCACATGCAGAGTTTATAGATAGATAATTAAGAAAGAAAAAGAACAGAAGAGTAGGACAATTCTTGCTTTCAGTATGTAAGCCAACTAGGATCACAAATTCCATGACTAATTTGTAAGATGGGTGATTTTCCCATTAAGAAAGTATGGTCGTATAATTTAGAGAAGGGATCTGAGAGCTGGGTTGCCTGAGATTTTTAGCAGAGTTAAAGGAGTGGGTTGCAGACTGCCCCGGTGTTGAGCACACTGCCGTGCTTGCCCCACTTGGGATATGTGTCACATGAAGATCTGCTTTCACTTCCCCTCACCTGTAAAGTAGGAGTCGTTGCACTTACCTCTAAAAGTTGACAGAGGGAGTACCATATATACTCGAGTATAAGCCGACCTGAGTATCAGCCGAGGCACCTAATTTTACCACAAAAACTGCATTAAAAATGTGCTGAAAAACTCGGCTTATACTCGCGTATACACAGTATGTGAGTTGGCACAGGTAAAGTATCTGGAGGTGGTACCTGGCATACACACAGCACATGCTCAGGAAAGGTCAGAAATCCCTTATCCAGAGACGTGTTCATCCATGTTGAATGGTCACATGAGCTAAGCAGTCACCACTCTGCTCAGTTAATATCATCACCAGAAATCCGGCCACCGGGAAATCTAGCCAGCAACTAACAGGCTGTGGGATTGGGCAACTCAGTTCCGTTGCCAGGGCCCCTGTGCCTTCTCCCATATGGTGGGCCCTCTCTAGTCACCCAGTCTAACATGCAGTTTAGTAACAAGTAAGCCTGTGCTACATTGACAGTCAGCAGACGAGGGTACCCACATAGACGTTTTCATATAGGACCACTGAGCCATTCATCAAGTACTCGGAAATAGCCATGCAGAAGTTCTGCTTATAATGCATTCCCACTGTGATAGACGACCCTGTCTGCACACCGAGGACACGCGTTTCTGAGCCACCAGAGCCAAGTTCTTACTCGGTGGGCCCAACAGTTCCACTTTTTCCCCCTTCCTTTTTTGGTCCCTCTTATCTAAATAAATAAGGAGCTCTTGTTTGGTGGTGGTGCTGAGGGGTAAACACTTGGACTGCTATTGCAAAGTTGGTGTTTCAAGCCCACCCTCCCATCCAAGGGAGAAAGAAGAGGCTGTCTCATGTGTCTCCAAAAGATCTGTGGCCTCAGAAACCCTACAGAGGCTTTCGGTGAGGGAGAATCCACTCGCTGGCAGTGGGGTTTCCTTTTCACCCTGTGAATACTATTCTTCAACCTCCCAAGGCTCTGAAAGAGTCAGATAGTGTTTATCGGGCCTCTGCCCCACTGAGTTTCACCACAGTTGGTCCACACTGGAGCCCTGAGGACCTGTGCTGGTCAGTCACGCTGTGTGGGCCTCTTGCCTTGGTCGTCCTTGCAAAATTGAAGGTGTGCCTCACAACCAAGATTCCCCGGGGTTCAGTCCTGTTGTGGAACAAGAGCTACCTTCTTCCTTATATCTGCAGCAGAGAAATTACATTCTTTCCCTAAATTGTCTTTTCCTTGTAAATAGGATATGCTGTAAACTCACCAAAAACATTGAAAGGGGAACGCTCTCTGTAGGCTCAGCCCTGTTGCTGTAATTACCTCGGAAAGGCTGAGTGAGAACTCCTAAAGATTTACAAGGCATCTTCTGTGGAGTTGGGACCTTAATCCCAGCTGACGGGAACGTCCCGTAGCCTCTTCCACAACCCCTGCCCCAAAGGAGAGTGCCAGAAAGCAAGGGCCAGCAGCGGCAGCTGGTCACTGTGCCTGTGACCCCGGTAGCAGAGCGCTGCTAGTCCTCTCCTTGTGCTGCCGCAGCTCTTCCTAAATAGTCTCCTGCTCTTTTTCTCCAGGTTGAACAGATCAGCCTAGAGAGTGTGGACATGGACAGCCCCGTGAAAATGAACTTCAGCCTCTCCGGCCTGGGCTCCAGAGAGCACATCCTGGAACTCATGCCTGCCATTGAGCCCCTCAACAACCACGTCCGCTACGTCATCTCCCACGGCAACGAGGGTGGAACCTTCCGCATCCACCACAGGAATGGGCTCAGCTACTTGCACACGGCCAAGAAGAAGCTGGTGCCCGGCACTTACACACTGGAAATCACGAGCGTCCCTCTGTACAAGAAGAAGGAGCTGCAGAAACTGGAAGACAGCAACGAGGGCGACTACCTCGTAGGAGAGCTTGGGGAAGCTCTCCGAATGAGGCTGCAGATCCAACTCTACTAAACGCCCTGCAAACTTGGTTCCAGGGGCAAACCCCAGCCCTGCCAGCCTTCAGCCATGTTTGAGAAGTCAGTGCCTCTTTCCAGGAGGGGAGAGAAAAACCAACACACACACCCCCCCCACACACGTTGCCTTCGATCCTCCTCCCTGGCTCAGACTTCAGAATGCTGACCCTCACAGGGAGAGAGAATCTAGACTCTAATGTGGCCAAAGATTTGAGGACAGAGGAAGCCGTGGTTACTGTATTTTTATATAATTTCACTTTAAATATATTAAAGGAAAAAGAAGAAGAAAACCTTAAATGTCCAAGCGATCAGCATATGGCACTAAATGCACAAAAATAATGTGAGCGTTTTTTTTGTTTTTGTAACCTGTTAGCAGTCTGTAACACTTTGGGTATTTTGCTATAGTTGCTAATTAAAAAAAATATAGATGTTTATTTATTTTAATGCAGTAATATATGGAGAAATGAACAAACTATGTAAACAAAAAAAAAAGGGAAACTCGCTTGTTTTTCTTTAGATTTATAAATTTGAGCTATTTCTTTTCGAGGTGCTTTTCAGACAAATTCAGTAGATCCAAGGGATGTTTCCTTTGGTGTCCAGCCAGTCATCCAAGTGGTATACATCGGATGATTTCAAAGAAAAGGCTCCCAGAGCTGACTGGGGAGCGTAATCCGTAACCCTAAAGCCGCGGATGTCATTCGATCCTTTACAAAGGAGATCGAAGCCAGAGCAGCTCCTTGTGACCACTGCTTCCCTTCACCAGACCCTCGGGGCACAGGAAGTTGAAGCACAGCCACTGTAGCAAAATACCTTGACTGCTCGAGAGACCGTTAGCGTTGCAGGCCAAACCGTACTGTATTTCCTTCTCCTGACCTCAAGAACCACACGTGCTGCCCGCAACCCCTCCTCCTTACCCAGGGTGCTCTGTGCAGAGCTGGTGGTACGGTAGGCAGCTGAGGAATGCCGTTCCTTGGAAGAGGAACACCTGGCGTTCTGTAGCATTTGGTGCTGTCTTAGATTCATGGTGCATTTATGATGTTCAAGCTATTTCAGGATGGCCATATGTGCAAACAAATCATGCAGTGCAGCCAAGGAATATATGTTCTTGTTGTTTTTTAAGTCCATTTTTTTTTTAGAGTTTTCATTAATACTGTAGTTATAACACCATATGCCTCGTTTAATCATAGCCTATAGTGTATGAAAGATGTTTGTACAATGAATTGATGTTTAGTTTGCTGTAGTCATTGAAAAAGATATTGTACCAGGACGTGCTAATAAGAGCATGTGTCAGTGTTCTCGACCCAAGAACCTGTTCCGGACCAGTCCCAAACCTCACTCGTGAAATGGCCAAGGCGCACGCAGACTCCGCTGCTTCCTCTCACCCTATGTTGACCAAAGAGTAGTAACCAGTTATATCCAGTGTTTTGTCTTGTTTTGTTTTGAATAACTAAAAGAGACCGTGTACATTTGTAATCAAGTGTTTGTGAGGAAAAACAACAGTTTTTGGTTTTGTTTTTTGTTGCGGTTTTTTGTTATTTTCTTGGTAGGTCTCATGTATCAAATATGACACTTTTATTGCAATAAAGCTTATTTTGGGGTAGTTGTCTGGCTGTGAGTTTTATGGGACGACAACCCTGCCATAGGTTTTGAAAGTGCCAGCTGGAGGGGCAGGCCCATTCACAGGAAACCAAGGGCATGTCGTTAACTGGGGGAAACTAAGGAGGCAAGGGTGTGCCACTGAAAGTGAGAATACAAGTTACCTTCAAATTGCAGGACGTAATCAAATCAAGCAACAGTTCAGCGCAGAGATCCTGAACCTCCTAGACCCATCGCCCTGGAGACAGCAAAGCATTTCTTCACTTCATCCACTTGTACTTTGGTCTTTGGGGGTCATTGCATTAAAGCATCTTGAGTTTCCTCCCCTGGCATAAGGAGCCCCTGGTAGTGCCGTGGCTACGTGTTGGGCTGTTATTCACAAGGTCAGCAGTTTGAAGCCACCAGCCACAACTCGGGAGATGGACCAGGCCTCAGAAACAGACCCACAGGAGCAGTGTTACCCTGACTTACAGGTTCACCCTAAGTCCAAACCAACTTGGCGGCAGTCAGTCTTTTAGGGCTTTTTCCTAGCATGAAACTTCTTGATCCCAATTTTAAATCAAAAGTGCTTAGAAGCATGGCGGGTGGAACTGAACTCCCTCCAATGGCTCAACGTCCAGCCAAACAGCAGATGACAGACCAATGGGTCTATAAGGTGAACTATAACACCTGGAGGCAAACATTCCTTAGGACAGTCAGCCATGCCAATCAGAAGGGCAGCCTTTGGCCAGGTTCTAGCTCAGAAGGCAGGACGGGCTGGGAAGGCAGGATCCAGGGAAGCAACCAATGGGAAATGAAGTAGGCAGAGTCTAGGGGCCTTGTGGGAAGATCACCATGTCACTAAAACAACAGGGATTGTAGAATGGAAAACCAATTGGCTCTGGACACTTTCACCCAAATCAAAAATTGTTAAATGCCTAAGAGCCCTGATGGTGCAGCGGTTAAACACTCAGTAAGGAGATCCTGAGAACCACCAGCGGGTCTGTGGGAGGAAAGATGTGACTGTCTGTCCCATCAGATTACAGCCTGGACCAGAAAGCCGGCTGGGGCTGGTCTATTCTGCCCTCCTGAGTGACCAGAATCCCCTCTGAGTCAAGTCCACAGCCCACAACAGCCACACACCAGGCCTGCCCTCCAGACCAAGTGAATGCCCTGCCAAAAATGATCCAAAAGTGCTTATTTCTTGAAATGTTACAAAGTTTCTTGAGTTAGAGGGGGGAATAAGTTATTTAACTTGAACTCACTTTGGCAGCCTGTTAAAATAACAGAGTGGTAGAAATTAATTCAATGCAAGGTGTAAGAATTTGCTGAAAAATGCCCAAGATGACAGCCTTCCAGCCTAGTGCTGGAATCATGCAGTGTGTCCTTATAGGATAGGCAGGAGCAGTGGCAGGGAGCCTCCGTTGGAGGTAGGTGGGCCCTGGTGCCCTTGGCCCACAGAAACCTCTCTGGGTGTTCCCAGACTGTCCCATGTAAATCTCAATCTCCAACCCCTAAAATGATTGATCCTTGGAATGAAAGGAGGGCTATGTTCACGGTGCATGACCACATGAGGTTCTTTTGATCACTTTGGAGAGCACCCCAAAGAGTGTCATGGTTGGAAGGGAATTAATGACAGTGTTGTATCAAAGATGGGAAGCAAATGGTCATCGGTGACGTACACAATCTGAAATCCATCACTTCCCTTTACCAACGCTTTAACCAGCATAAACATTGCTGGCAGAAGAGGAGACAGAGCTGTGGAGTATAAGGAATAGTGTATTATCGCGAAAGGGCTTTGTACATATTCTGTAATAAAATGGCGTGGTGGGGGGGGTGGGCGGACCGCAGGAAGAATTTGCGTGCTTAGGTCTTGTATCCACAAATCAAGAAAGCAGGGAAATATTCTGGCTGATCTAATGTTGTTCTTTGCCAAACAGAATCTAGCTGCATGGAGTTAGAAAAAATGTTGCCTCTGGGCGTCCTTTAAAATCTACCATGCGTATTGAGTTTCATCTGAGATCTATTATTGGTGCAGTGTAAGCACGGTAATTTGAAGTTACCCAGAATCAGATTTGACTTAGCTTTGTAGTTGAGCAACAACACCCTTCATTTAGAATTAACCTCATCTTGAGGAAGTCTGAGAATCTACAGCGGTGAGGATAACGCCATGTCGGGATTTGGGTGCTTGAATAAGATCACCACTTTAAGACGCACCCTCCCGGAGGAGCATCCTCTGCTGTTATCCCTACTGTGAGTCCTCTCAGAGGATACCTGCAGGGCCTGAAGGTGCAGTGTAAACCCAGACATACACCAAATCTGTTAGATACAAGTATGATCATGCAACAGTTCTCATCATAATAAAATTCTTTCTACCCACGTATCTTTAGACTGGGTAGCTGTTAACAAAATAGTTCTATTTAGTTCTTTTTTGAGAGCAAAAAGAGCAAGACTTTCACCAGGATGGGTTGACCCAATAGCTCAAACAATTGTTAGGTGCTATCAGCTTGGTTTCTAGCACCACGACCCTCTGTATGTGCAACAGAACAGGACAAGGCCTGTCTCGGACCATCTGCACCATTATTGCCACACTGGGGCGATCTCTGTGGCCATCTGTCTCACGGAGGGTCTTCCTCTTTTTCGTGTGTGTGTGTGTGTGTGTGTGTGTGTGTGTGTGTGTTTGTTTCACCAAGCATGCGGTCCTTTTACAGGGACTGATCAGTGTGTCAGCATTGACATGATGAGAGTGAGTTTGGTTTTATGGGGGCGGGGGAGGGGGCGGGCAGTTCTCTTCTGATAACATGGCCCAAGGATGGTCTCACAATCCTTGCTTCTAAGGAGCATTTTGGTTGTACTTCTTTGAAGATACAGTAGAACTCCAGACCTAGACACTAATCCTAGAAGGAGCATCAGGATGCGGTGCAGTCGAGTTTTGAATCAATTTTTCCCATAAGAAATAACTAAAAATGGATTAATCCATTTTCTACCAACAAGTTTTTGCTCAAACCTTGCCTTTTTATACAAGCATTACACAGAAATTTCAGAGTAAATAAGTTCAGAGTTAAATAATATAATTTAAATAAGAAACACAACATTTTAAAAAGTTTTTAACAACTACAGTATGGCCCATACCTTGAGATCGATGAGGATCTGGATCTGTGGACACGGACATGGAGAGGAGGATGGAGAGAGAGTCAGTGTTTGGAAGGGGATCCCCTTCCATAAAACCAACTGATTGCTGCTTTTCAGGAGTTTTTTCCCTTCTTTGCCTTTTTTCACTAGGACCTGTCTAGCTTTCTCTAAAAAATCTGTCTAATGTGGTCTACTGTTGGCATTTCTTAACTGTTTTCTCGCAGAGTTTACTAAATTATCAATGTATTAGTCTGGGTACTTTGGAGAAACAAATCCACAGAAACTCATGTATAAGAGAGAGTTTTATGTAAAGGTTAAATGCGCATCAAGAAAATATCCCAACCCACTGCCCAAGCCCACAAGTCCAATATTAACCCATTAACCCATATGTCCAACACCAGTCCACGAAGTCCTCCTCCATCTCACAAAACAGAAGCAACAATGCCGACTGCAGGAGGGAAGCTGAGTCAGTGAATGTGTAAGCATCTCAGTGCTGGCAGGGGTCTCCACATGGCTGCTCCAGCACCCAGGGCTGCATTGGGGTGGGTCCATGTGGCTTCTCCTTAGGGATGTCTTGCAGGAAGTGAGCCTTGCAAGCTGGAGCAGGGAATTGCTAAGGCAGCTGCACCCTGGTCCAACCATCACAAAGCAAGAGGCCTGAAAACTAGAAAGGCAAGGCTCATCAAGCCATTTATCCCTCCGCTATTCAATTAACCCCACGTGTTTTATCGGCCAGGTTGGCACAATAAACTAACTCAATCAATAATATCAATAACAGCCCAATAACACCAAGAACGACATTTTCGTGACATTTAATTAAATGTATATATTAACATATATATTGATAACTATGAAAGTAAAGAATAAAAACAAAAATAAATTTTCCTGAAATTAAAAATTCAGGTATTATAGGGTTAACCAGTTCCTTATCATGATCATTCTTTTCAAAAAACTCTTAGGACTCATTTATTTAAAAACAATACAAAAAGCCACAAAAACTAAGAAAATCATAGCAAAACGCTTGGGACACAGCAGCAAAAGGCTTAAACAACACATACTAACAACACCAGCTAACACCAAGTGACTGAAACAGGAACTGCTTTTGTTTACAAAAATCAAATGCGTAGCGTCGGATTCTGATGTTTTGTGCGCACTCCGATGCAAAATTTTCTCCACATTTGGCGCTGAAATCCAATTATGTCGAATACTGATGTGATTCTGCTGTAGATTGGTGTGATCTTTTGGCAATCTACAGAAATTTGAATATTCTCCCTCACACCGTAATTTAAATGCATCAATTCTTCTCTGGTCTTCCTTATTCAATGTCCAACTTCCACATGCATATCAGGCAATTGAAAATACTATAGCATGGGGAAGGCTCACCTTAGTCCTCAAAATAACATCCTTGCTTTTCAACAACTTACAGAGGTCTTGTGCAAGATTGACCCAACACAATGCACCATTTGATTGCTTGACTGCCATTGCCATGAGCAATGATTATGGATCCAGGCAAGACAAAATCCTTGACAACTTCGATCTTTTCTCCATTTACCATGATGTTATCCATTGGTCCAGTTGTGAGGATTTTGGTCTTCTTTACATTGCATTGTAATCTGTACTGAAGACTACCATCTTTGATCTGCATCAGCAAGTGCTTCAAGTTCTCCTCACTTTCAGCAAGCAAGCTTGTGTCATCTGTGTATGGCAGGTTGTTAATAAACCTGCCTCTGAACCTGATGCAACAATCTTTTTCATAGAAACCAGCCTCTCTGATGATTTGCTCAGCATACAGATAAAGTATGTATGGTGAGAGGATACAACTCTAACACATCTTCTCTGATTTAAAGCCCTGCAGTATTCCCTTGTTCTGCTTGCACACCTGCTTCTTGATCC